AGCTAAACGATTGCGCTCGCTTAGCCGTAATGCGCCGATCCTTGTTACCCTTTTCTCCATGATCGAAGTCGATTTTATCTTGTCGAGGAGGGAGATAACTAGAGAATTCTGCCGTAAATGGCACTGCTCCGTTTCGCCAGACCTCACACCGCTGCAGCGAAGACTGAATAAATTAAAATCGGCAAAAACCAACACCAGGATAATGACACCTACTGTCAGTTTGAATAAGTCCTTTACAACACTATCTGCGGCCTCTGCACGTCACGACATAGTCAGTACCGTAGGGAATTCGACTACTACTGATGTTGAGATCTTTAGATGCAACAACACGCCTGGTGTACAAACGCCCCTAACGACTCCCACAGCAACCCCTAGTAAGCTTAAGCATGTGCCTACGTCAAAGGCAAATCCAATTGCTGTCTCAGCCACTCGGGCACCCGATAAATTCAGCACCATTAATAAATCTTTTCCTCCACAATCGGCTAACAGTACCTAAAATACCCCGACTCAAAGCGTTTTCCCAACTGCCCCCCAGCCCTCATATCGAGGCAGTTAGGCCGAATATGCCGATTTTCCCGCCGTTAAATAGAACTCTTGCTCCAATGGAATCAATGAGTCCCCCACTCCCTAACTTGTTTCCACCACCGCCGTTTTACCAATTTATTCCTCATGATAATGTCCATACTGAATCAGTTAGTTCATCCGATCCTCAGTTTCGTTCCAGCGGGAATGTGTTGCAGTATATGGCCCGCGGATTTCCAGCCGAAAACGAGTTAGCTATCAATGGTTACCAGTTTACCTGTCCGTCATTCCCTCTCCCAAATCCTACCCCTTTTTATCCACGTCAGAATTTTTGATGCCACAAAATATTTTGCAGAACCGGATGGTTACATCCGGACCGTTTGCTGCGTGGGTAGACCAGCACTGGACGATGTAGCCCACCTCCCTCTGAAACATACAGCCTTTCCCTTCAAACTTTTTGTTTTAAATGCCAAATCCTTGCTTAACAAGATGCCTTTGCTTCAAACTCTGGTGTTCGTCCATTGTCAGGATATTGTTTTAGTAACTGAGACGTGGGCATCGGCCTCCGTAGCTGACTTCGAACTCTCGCTTCTCGACTATGATTGCATTCGAAATGATCGCCATGATAGCCGTGGTGGGGGCAGTTGCGTCTACGTTAAGCAAACGCTTACATTTTTGCCGCTTGACCTCCCGCACTTTTCCGCAGTAGAAGGCAGCTGCTGGCTCCAGGTTGGTCTAAAAAATAAGTTCTCCTTACTGGTTGGCTGTGTCTATCGCCCTTCCAACGCCAACGACAATTTTGATCGTTTACTCTCTCAGGCATTTCATGCTGCGGCCGACTTAATCTTTAAGTATCAATTGGTTGCGGGCGACCTTAATCTCCCTGAAGTCCGCTGGTCTCCGCCTTCAGGCCCCAGAAAGTTCGAAGACTTTCTTGAGGCTGAGGATGCTGGAATGTGGACTCAGGTTGTCGATTTTCCCACCCGAGGATCAAGCATACTTGACCTTATCTTTTGTAGAGGCTGCATGCCTTCGCCAGTGCCATCCCTAGGCTCACTCGGGGGCTCAGACCATGACATAGTTGTTTCAACGTTGGAATTCGAGGCTGACAAAACGTTGTCCCCTAAGTATAACATTTTCCGCGATTTCCGATCAACTCCATAGTTTGGATGTAAATATTTGCACTGCAAAACTGTACGAAATTTTGGATCCGCTTATTTCTTGTTGTGTCGCCCATAAGAAAATTATTAATCTTGAGAATGAGATTTTCCTACCCTTACCATTTCGTCGAAGATTGCGCAAATTTTCTCGTCGATTCCATCTTCAGAACGACGGTTCTGTCCTGCCCTTGATTTGTGATATTTTTGAGCGGGCTAATAGATTGTCTGAAGAAAAACAGCTAGCTGAGGAGATCCAGTTTACCGAAAACCATTTGTTAAATGTCTCGAAACTTTTCTCTAGAAAAATACAAACTCATCGAAAGACGCATCATCCCACCCTCCGAGACGCTCTCGGAAATCCCATAATTGATACCCAATTAACCGCTGACAGCTTCAATGATTTCCTGTCCAAAACGTTCATTGAAGACTCGACCACTACGCTTCCGACCATCCAGGCACTGACTGGGGCAGTCCTAGAAACTATAACTTCCACTTTGTGGGATGTGACCGTTGCGATTCGGCGTTTTCGGTAATCTTATAGTCCAGGACCTGATAGTGTCCCAGTAAGCATTTTAAAAGCCGATGCGAATACGATTTTCACATTTCTCTTATGCAAGATATTTAATCTCGCTCTCGAAAGTGAAACTTATCCTACCTTGTGGAATGAACCACACATTTTTCCCATTCCTAAGCACGGCAACTCCACGTCATTTGATTACTTTCGGCCAATAAACACCCTCCCCGCAGTTTCGAAGATCTTAGAGACATTGATCAAAGATAAGATGATGTGTCACTTAACAGAGAATAACCTGACAGTTCGACCATCGGTTTCGGTGATGTCCACCGTGTGCCCCACAGTTGAAGCAGCAATGGGAGCAGCGATGGTGACTTACGCAGGGGTTTATAGTGCCGGCAGACTTGCGTAGCATCTACCTACACTCTCTCCTCCTCCCTCGACCGAGACCGGTGTCAAGACAGAGTCAAGAAGACCGGAGACGAGGGAGACCGCAGGTGCATGGCTCGGACGGATCCTCACCTTGGCGTTCCACCACACCACCTGGTCCACACAACAATAACCACGATTTCAACCAACACAGCAGAGATTTGGAGGCTGGCACGGCCGAAGCCGCACCTGGGCGTGCCGCCAACGCCTGGCTCGGATCCCACACTGTGATGAAAGTGCCATAAAGGCCACATTAAAAAGGAGCCATTGCAGCCTGACTCTCAGACCGCCTCCGGTCAAGGAGGAGGTCCAAATTACCCCGTCAGTTGGCAACCTTCCAAGCCTCGGATTTTAGCGAGCCGTGATAGCTTCAAGCGCGTCAGATTGTTTATAATGAGGAGGAAGTGCGCTGAGTCATCAACCTCACTCTCCCTTCTCACTCCCACACCCCAGCCGCTGTCCGAGCCGGTCAGCAGACTGGAGTGGGAAATGGGCGCGGTGGCTGACATGGTCGACTGACCATGCCTGCGCGCGCCACAGCACGACCTGGCCCCCCATACACACACAAACACCAGGATTTCACACAAAGGGGGTAGAACGGCGTGTCTCTCACTTGCGTGAGAGTGCCGTGGAAGGTGCTGTTTCAGCCCCTCCCCATCCCACTAGTCCGCCACTCCACACAACACACACACACAACGTGACGAACTGCGTGAACCGAGAGCGGGCCTCAATCAGCAACCTTCCTATCCACGACGCTTGACGTGTCGGGATAGTCTGGGACTCAAGTCACCCGTGCAGCCGAAGCCGCATGGGGACCGAGTCGAGATGCGGACTTCCCACTTGCGTGGGAGGTGTCAGTTGGGTGCATGAGGTGTGTGAGGGTTGATTTCTGGTGGGGTGATGGTGGTGGTGGAGGACGTAGGGAGTGAGTGAATGTGTGGTGTGGCCGGCGGTTGTCTACCGCAGGTCGTCGTGGATGCACATGTGGCTGAATAGGCCCATGCGATGCCTGAAAGTGCGAGGGCAGTGTTGGCAGTTGAGACGAGCTTGGTGGGTATAGGTGGGTGCTCCAGACACTGGTTCGCCAGTCTCTGTGCGATGGATTCGCAAGTGACCGACCAGAGCGATGCGTGAGGGGAATATGCGTGGACAGCGTGAGCATGAGAAGTCGGCGGTGTCAGTGTCAGCGACAGAGGAGGCGGTGGTGTTGGTGGTGGTGGCGCGGACTGATGGAACGAGGGTGGGGATGTGCACGGTGGATGTGGTGGGTGTGTCGGGAGTGCGGTCAAGGCCGCTCTCGTGGATGTGAATGTAGCCGAAAATGCCCATGCGATGCCTGAAGGTACGAGGGCAGTGTGGGTAGTGGAGGCGAATGCGGTGGGTGTAGGTTGGCGCTACAGGCACTGGTTCGCCAGTCTCTGTGCGATGGATTCGCAAGTGACCGACCAGGAAGATGTGTGAGGTGAAGGTACGGTTGCAGTGAGGGCAGGTGTAGTCCTGATCCTCATCGCTGGAGTCGGGGGAGGTGGTGGTAGTGTCGGTTGTTGTGCGCGGGACAGTCGCCTGAGAGGCCGCCGTAGGAGCAGTGAGCGAGGAGGAGGAGGAGGAGGAGGAAGAGAGGGAGGGGAGGAGGAGAAGGATGAAAGTGGTAGGTCAGACGAATTGTCAGAGTTAGTTGGCGGCCGAGAGGAGGAGGAAGAGGCAGACGGGGGGACGATAGTTGGCGCCGTTCGAGAGGCGCAGTGAATCCGAAGATGTCCAACAAGTCCGATTAGAGCCCGGAAGGTCCGTTGACATCGAGGACACGTTGGAAGCGGTTGTGCGGTGGCGTTGCGTACTGGGCGAAGTTGTGATTTGCGGGCTTCGCGTTTCGCTTTGGCGGCGGCGATGCGATTGGCTTCGTAGATCGCAGCGCCTGTCTTCACTGTCCTCCTCCAGGTCGGTCGATCGAGTGCGAGCTCTTCCCAGTTGGTCCAGTTGATTTGCAGGCGCTTCAGGGAGGACTTCAGGGTATCCTTGTAACGGCGAATCTGGCCTCCTTGACGGCGAGAACCCGTCGCGACGTCTTCGTAGAAGAGTCGTTTGGGTAGTCGCTCGTCGTCCATGCGCACCAGGTGACCGCTCCAGCGCAGCTGCATTTGTCTCAGTATGGCGTAGATGCTGAGGATTCCCGTTCGTTCCAGTACTTCCGTGTTGGGGATTCGATCCTGCCAGTTCAGCCTCAGGATGCGACGAAGACAACTGAGGTGGAAGTGGTTCAGACAACGTGCCTGTCTCATGTACACCGTCCAAGTCTCTGCTCCATACAGTAGTGTCGGCAGGGTGACGGCCTTGTACATCTTCAGCTTCGTGCTCAGCTGAAGACCGTGATGATTCTAAACTGTGCTTTGGAGGCGACCTAAGGCTTGACTGGCTTTCGAGATCCTGCTGGCGACTTCGTCATCAATCTTGGTGTTGCGTGAGAGGGTACTGCTCAGGTACGGGAAGTTCTCTACCACTTGCAGTTGGGTCCCATTCACGCTGATTTTCGGCGGCGCGTTGGGCGCTGTGACTGAGTGGAGTGGAGGTTGATGCATCACCACCGTCTTCTGCGTGTTAACGACCAGACCGCGGTTCTCGCGGGCAGCGGAGAACAGGTCCATGCTCCGTGGCATCTCCTCTTCCGAGGTGGTGTTCAGGGCGCAGTCGTCGGCGAAGAGGAGTTCGGGAACGGTGGTTGTGGATACACGCGATTGGAAGTGCATCCGCCGTTGATTCAGGAAGTGACCGTCCGTCCTGTAGGCGATGCGGATCCCGGGGCGTTCGTCGCGGTAGGCGTCAATCAGCATGGCAGTGAACATGAGACTGAAGAGGGTAGGCGCCAGTACGCAGCCCTGATTCACTCCATTGGTCACTGCGAATGTCTCTGAGACAGCTCCGTTGTCCGTGACTCGCGCCATCATACCGTCGTGCAGCTGACGCACCATCTGAGTGAATCGCTCCGGACAGCCGAATTTCTGCATGATTTTCCACAGTCCTTCGCGATTCACCGTGTCGAAGGTTTTCGTCAGGTCCACGAAGGTAGAGTACAGGTGGGTCCGCATCTCCCGGCGCTTCTCCTGAAGTTGACGGGCAGCGAAGATATATCCGTGGTTCCGCGATGACGACGGAAGCTGCATTGGCTTGCCGGCGGAAGGCTCTGTTCCAGATGATTATTCAGATGATTGAGGAGGATACGAGCGAAGATCTTCGCGGCGATGTTCAGCAAGGAGATGCCGCGGTGATTGTCGCAGACTTGGCGGTTCACTTTTCGCTGGTAGAGATTCACGATGGTTGCGTCTTTAAAATCTTGCGGGACTTCACCTTAGCGCCACATCTTATGGAAGAGCGCAGTCAGGTGATCCGTCAGTTGGGAACCTCCGTGCTTGTAGACCTTAGCAGGGATTGCGTCCGATCCGGGTACTTTCCCTTTGGAGAGCTGCTGCACGGCCCTGATGGTTTCCTGGAGAGATGGCGGGAGGTCGAGGTCCACGTTGGTCTCCACTTGCGGCAAACGCTCGATGGCGGCGTCGGAGATGGCGGAGGGGCGATTGAGGACGTCTCGGAAATTCTCGGCCCATCTCTGTAGAATTCGTGTCTTGTCAGTCAGGAGGGTACGACCGTCGGCGGTGAGGAGAGGAGCAGTGACCTCCGTCGGCGGACCGTAGACAGCTTTGATCGCGGAGAAGAAGAACTTCTTCCACTCGTTGCGGTTCGCGTAGCCTTGGATCTTCTCAGCTTTGCGAACATTCTAGGTGTTTTGCATCTCGCGCAGTCGTTACTGAAGGTGGCGGCGACTGCGATAGAAAGCAGCTTTGTTGTCATCAGTCGGGTGGTCTATGTATGCTTTGTGTAGGCGGTGATTCTCGGCGAGCAGATGGCTGATGACGGCGTCGTTGTTGTCGAACCAGTCCTGGTGTTGGCGGCGTGCGCGACCGAGGGCGACTAGTGTCGTCGACTTTGCTTACTTTGTCACATTCGGACTTGGGATGTAAATCGTGGCTGGGCTCTACCGCTTTGCTGTGAAATTAGACGATTCACTCTGCGTAGTTCTTATGAAATAAACAACAGTTTCTAGCAGTTAACTAGAGTAGATATTACAAAGAGTGAAATAATGCACTTTAGCACTCCGAATACTTCGGACCATTAAGCCTAAAATAATTTTGCCCATTTTGTGTAGAGGAGGGACCATAACAATGAAGATCTGGGCCAGGGCTTCAAATTACAGTTCCGGTAGTGTTCGGAGGGCAAGCAATTTGTGAGCGGATAAGCTTAATTCAGTTTGCTTTGTGGTGTATTTGTGATCCATCGCCTTATCAATGCTATAAAACAATTGGTCGTCTTTTAGCTAAGCATTATGAACCACATGTTGAAATTCCTATCTTTTTTAAGTAATACTTCGTGTGGAATACATAGAACCGCTTTTATACCGTTACCTATTGTGGTTTTGAGTTAGAATACAGTGCTGGTGGTTTATCTTCCTAGATTATATTTCATTAAAGGCGGTGTAAGAGAGGCCTTCCGATATATTACAATATCCAGGAGTAGACAGTTGTGAACAGTCCTTCAGTTTATCCGCTAGCATTTTGTTACGCACAGTCGCCCACAGAGGAGGAGTGATTGGACAGATACTCGGTATGTACGGGTCTTCGTGGAGATAGCGATGTCAGGTCCCGTCCAACTACACATTCTAAGGGCTGTAAAAACCCGAAGAACAGCATGCAATAGTGAGACGATGCCATCCTTACTCTTCCTTTCTTCCTTAGTTTGATAGCCATTAATCCTGAGGGATGCCTTCTTCCTCATTTCGCCCATTGGCTCCAGAGCTGTTCTTTGCACTGCTTCCTCTCTAGCTGTATCCACAGGCTACTTATCATTCTACACTTTAGCCACTGTTCACACCGTTGGTACGCTTGCCCATACCATTTTCGTTTTATTAGGGCTTTCAATAGCCCTTGAATACTGTCCATTTCTATGTCTTTCTACTCTTTCCTCCGCCCTTCTTTTCCCGTCATACTTCCCTCCCTCATAGCAAGTTAGCTCGCCGCGGTCTAGCGTACTCTAGGGGGGTAATGGGTCTTTAGCCTGCTCGCGATTTGATTGGTTCTCGATCGGCTGCGCCGGCGTCGCGAAGGCCGCAAGCGGCCGCGCATACTTGCACTTGTTTATCGCTTAGCTTCGGCGCCCGATAGTCTTCTCGCTGTCGCCGGTGCCAGTTTTTGCTTTCTGGCGCTGCAGTGCGCACGCCGTGCCTCGGTCAACGCTGTCATTGCCAACCCTACCTCTCTTTGTCTTTGTGTTCTCATTTGTCCCCTTTTACTCACAATTATGTTTACGCCTGTTAGTAGGCGTAAATTGCGGCGTCAAGCACGTGGAGCAGCGGAAGAAATAATACGAAGAATCAGCTATGAGATGCGGGAAATGCCGTCGTCGGACACATCATCGAGTAGTTGGTCGGAAAGCGTCACGGACGACTCTATGTCCTCAACTTCGCTGGAGAACGAACGCTCTTCTTCCTTGGAGGGTACAGTGCGACTACGGACGAAGAAGTTGGTTCAACGGCGGAAGTAGAGGAGAAGGATGCAAGCGCTCGTGAAACTGTGCGAAAGTGGGCTTTACGGTCGAAAGCTCCCCATTCGCACTTGAACGATCTGCTTAAGGCTTTGAAACCGTGGTTGCCGGACCTCCCAGCTGACGCACGAACGCTGTTGGGCGCGGCATACTTCTCTGCACCGATCACGGCAATGGTCAGTGGTAAGTACATGCATTTGGGTCTTGCCGCTCAGGCGAACGCGCAGTTGCGTAAACTAGGCCGGCCCCATTCAGTAGAAGAAGTAGTTTTCAGCCTAGCAAGTAGGTGGTCATCCAATCCATAGGAAGACTAAGCGTGAATTTTGGCCTGTTTTAGGCAGAATTATGAAGGCAATATTAAGTGATGTTTTCACCGTAGGTATATACTGTGGAGTAGGTAAGCTTTCGGACGTGCAGGCGTTCTGCAAACCGCCTGCCGACGATTTATTGTAGTTGAATAAAGACTGTTTGCGGCTCGATGCGGGTGACAAAACTCTGCGCTTCCGTCTGGCTTCCGTCATCTGTGACGCTCCAACAAGAGCTTTCATTAAACAGATTAAGAATGTTAATGCGTACTGTGGCTGCGAACGCTGCTGCGTTAAGGAGGAGTACTTAGACAAGATAGTTTATGATAGTGTCTCCGAACATGCTAGGTCAGGTGAGGATTTTTTTTCCGTGGACAATGACTGCCACCGCATTGGCGTGTCGCCATTGCTGGCGTGCAATGTAGGAATGGTAA